CCCCCCCCCCCCCCCCCCCCCCCCCCCCCCCCCCTCCCCCCCGCCCCCACACACACACACAGAAATAGCTGTTAGACCTAGTTTGGATAATCTTCTCGATAACTACTTATAACTTATAAAAGAAGAAAATGAAAACAAAATATATCAACTAAACTTTTAGAGAAGTTGGATGATAACACTTCTATAAAAGTTGAAGTGCTTAAGTCCATTTCAACTTACAAGAGAAGCTCAATTTATATAGGGTCTGCTTGAATAAATTTCTCCAGAAAAACTTACAGGAGAAGAAAATAAGAAGAAAAAATGGAATTAGTTTCTCAATAAACTAAAATTAACTTAATGTATTAATTAAAATAATTTTTTGAGAAATTAATGAGAAAATTTCTACAAATTAGTTGTATAAGCTAGAATTTAACTTGTCAAAAAACTAATTTCATTTTTTCTTCCTACTTTCTATTGTTGGTGTTTGCTGAATCTCTCATTGAGTGTGCCGCAAAGTTCTTCCAAGAAGAGCAAGAACTCTGATACCATCTTAAGTAAGTAATTTAAGAGTCTAACTCATCTTTACAAAACTGGCTTATAAGATGAGAATTGATCCCTACTTACCTTATTCCTAGTTGATGTTGGATCACTCTGTCCAAATCAATTATCAAATACTTCAAAACCATAACATGGAGATAAGTTCACACACACACACAATTTACAGTTTCCATTCAATAAAAGATAAATTATAAGTGCAAACATCCATATTAAAAAATGATCTTCCAAGTTCCAACAGTGCATGTTCCAATCCCACCTGTTCCATCACATCTCAGCACCTCACAAGCAGAGCATCCTTCAACCACGGAATCCACAGCTGAAAAGCCACCATCAACAGCCCTCCACGCAGCTCTGACAGCTTCAACGAACGGCCACGTGCTCACAACCAACGGGTACTGCTCCAATTCCACTGTTTCATGCCCCACCACCTGATCAGAAACAACAACCATTGCATCAAAAATCTCCTAAAATGGAAAAAAATAAAAAATAAAAAAAATTAAGACTTTGGTCTATGTTGCAGAATTTTGAGTGCTGGAAAATTAAAAATCGTTAAATTTGTAGTCTGATTAGGGAAGGAAAGGGGTGTTTTGGGTACCAAAGAGAGTAAAGAGAAGAGGAACATAATGTTGAAGAGTGAGGCGGTGTTGAAGTAAGTCTTTGCAGCCATGGATACGGAGATAGAGCTTCTAGTTTTATCGCTCTTCTTTTGGATTCAAGTATAATATGTGTCTGTAACTTCAAAGAAGCTACAATTCACGGAGAATTAAATTGGAAATGGTTGGGATTCAAGTTAAATTTTGGGGTCAATTATCTTATTCTTTCTTATTTTTTAAAGTGTCTCCAATATAATAAGAAAATTATGGTTACTCCAAGAAAAAAAAATAATAACTTATAAAATAAATATATATTTTAATGATTAAATTTATTTTGAATTATAATAAAAATAAAATAAAATCAAGAAGACTTATGTTTAAAATAAATAATATTTTTATTTAAAATAAAAAAAATTCTGATAAAATATCCTTTAAATAAATATAATAAATTAATTCTATAAAAAAATTATATAAATTTATCATTTACTATTTGAATAATTTTAAAATGAAATAAGGAAAATTTGTTCTCTATCCAAAGAGAAAAGGGGGGGGGGGGGGG